TACATAGGAAAAATCTTTTAAAAGTCTTTTCAAGATTAGCAAAGCTATGATTGTTGATTTTAATATGGAACCCTAGTTAGAGTTTATTCAAGTTTTTTTTTATATAATTACCAGGAGGACAAGGTGGGGCAGTGATGAGCAATCAAATCCTTACATAGAAATATATATTAAGAAAAATCTTCAAAACTCTTCTTTTCAAGTATTGGAAAATTTACATGTATGCTTTATTGATATAGTGAATTTCTAATAAAAAATTAAATCCCCCCCCCCCCCAACAAGTAAACTTTTCAATACTAAGCTAACTAGCCCATGTGTCAGGTGAGCATGTGGCCCAGGGGCCTCTTGTCTATTTTACATTTTCTCCTTCTTCTCTGATTTTTTTTTTTTTTAAAACTTTACATACGATGTTTTCTAGATTGACCCATATGATGCATTTTTATATCTAAATTAAAAATTTGGGTTTTTTTCTAATCACCAGGATTTCCTTGCCCAAAAAGGAAATTTCCCTGTATATGAAAAAAATTGGAATTTATCATTATGTAATAAGAAATAAACTGTTTTTTTTTCTTGTTTTCTTCATAATCTCTACTTCATCAAATCTTAAGCTGCACATATGGGCAAAAATATTGATTGAATAAATGTTTAATAGTTTACTATAGGTGTTTATTGTAATGAATATACACACATATGATTTAATACAAGCATTATACTTTTGTAAAAACCCAAGGTCTGTTTCAGTTAGTCACTATTATTTGATCGGCATTTTTGCTCCAAAATCAAATATCAACTTTTTCTGTACCCAAAAAAAAAAAAAAAAAAAATTTAAAAATATGTTTAAAACAATTCTAGATGAGTTTCTGATTGGATTGTAATTTTTTTTTTTGTTTAAGTAAATTAATGATTATCATGAAAAATTTAATTTTTGTTTAAAATTTGGCAATTTTTTCCCCCCAAAAAAGTGAAATAGGTTATTTTTAGAAAATTTAACACGTGTTCCGTTGTTTGATAACATTTTTTTGCATAATATCCTTAGCTCGATTTTCTTTTATTAGACAATCAGTCACCAGATGTAGATATATACAGCTGTGATAATATCCCAATGATATGCCATTGAATTACTTTGTATAATGAAATAATTATTGGCAGAAAAAAACATTCATTTTTCGACAAATACGTTTTTTTATTGACCAACAGTAAAAAAAAACAAACCCAAAAAAATAAATGGCATAGATGGCTTTTATAATTTTATTTTTAAAAACAATGAGTGATAGAAATTAAGCTGTGGAATATTTTAAATTTTTTTTCAAGCAAAATTATCTTTAATTAAAAAAGTATTTTATCAAAGAAAATTGAAGGAAAATGTATGTTTCAATAATTATAATAAAACTTTTAAAAAATTTTGGCTTCTTTTTTATAATATTAGTTTTCTTTGATAAACTAAAAACTTTGCTAAGTGAAACACGACTTTAATTTAATGATTAGTCTTGGTGCTTGACATGGGTATGCTAATGGTGTTTTCATATTTTTTTAAGTTCAGACAGAGTAAAAGTTTTTATTGTTATATGTATACGGAAACCCCCCTTTTTCTTGTCAACACATTTTGAATTATCCTCATCTTTATATATATATATATATTAAATTCATCCTGTGAAATAAAAGAATTGTGGCAAAGTATAGGTTAGTTCTTAATTATTTTGATTTAATTACATGTATGTACATTTAAAAGATGGCAATATTTTTTTGTTTTCATTTGCCAGCAATATTTACACGATATTTAGATTTTCATTATAAAGCGCATAAAACGGTTTTTCATTGAAGATCATTAAGATATGATTCATTGTTACTGTCATGAAATCGAACACGTCTTTGTCTTTTAGTAACAGAGAAAACATGTACCTCCAAAACGTCAGAGGTATAATAAAGCAAATATTGTCTGAAGATGATATTTATTTCAAGAAGACCGAGAAATATCAGTATAAAATTTACTGAGTTTTCAGATAAGTAATTATAATAATTTTTAATAATCATATCAACAAGTTGAATAAACAAAACAAACAAAAAAATATCAGTATATATTATACAGAGCATGCTTTTCTTATTTAAACTATAAACAAAAAGGTTTTTGAAACACTGATACCCCTGCATGTCAGCTTATAGTGAGCATTAAATTTCCCTTTTCAAACGCAAGTCAAATTCTAAAGTCAGAGTCAAAAGGTAAAATTGCTGCGGGTATGCAAACGGTCTTGTAATAAGGAATAAATTTCTGAAAGATCATTTTTAACTGTTCAAAAGTTATGGCCAAGTTGAAGATTTTTTTAAAGTAAGCACACTGTAACACTCTTTGAGGTCAACGTCGAAAAGGGAAAACATTTATACGCATTAAAGGGGTTTGTCAAAAAAAAATACACATGTAAGGTTTGGAAGTCCTAGTACCAAAATTATGGCCAAGGTGTAAGTTAGGTAATTTTGTGTAAAAGTGGGTTAAAATTAAGCCCAAGAGGTCAAATTTGGTCAAGAATGGCCCTGTCAAAAAGAATGCACCTCTGAAATACGAAAGCCATAGCCTCATCCACTTAAAAGTTATGGGCAAGGTTCTTACGGACAAACAGACAAAACAGACGGATGGATGGACAGGACAAAAGTATACCCCCAATCTTCAATGATGGATTCATAAAATGTAAATTTTAAGACTTAATAAAGATGGTATGTTTTTCTGATTAGATGATATAAATTGGTCGCTGTGAAGAGATTTTGTATAGATTCACACCTCCATCCTTCATTTCAAACTCCATAAATACTCCCAGGAACATTGTCATACAGAAAATGGATAATTGTAATTCAGTGTGATATCAACTATTTTTCTGTAAAATTCACATAAAAAGTATTTTAAAAAATTTCCAACACTATAACTCTTTTTTCAACTTAAACATTTTTAAAGTAATTAATATTTATCTATATGAATGTAATTGCTACATGTAAAAAAGATAATTTCTGGTTTGAAATGCAATTAGTAGCTGCCATATTACATGTAGTTTTAAGATTAACAAAATACCTGTTAATGAGAAATATTAAAGGATTGATCCTAACACCATGACAAAATAGATGGTAAATGTCAAGGGTAACATATTTTTCTGAAGAGTCCTGATCATATTTTGGGAAGAAAAACAAGTATATTCTACAAAACGTCAAAGATACTAAGTGAAAAGTCAACTAGGAGGTGTCATTAAATAAAGCGAGGCAGCGAGGTCGCGAAGCGATGCTCGCAAAGCAGCTAAAAAGACTAAGTGTAGAAAAGGAAATTCGGATTAAAATCTGTAATAGCAGCCAAATTTTCTGTGCAAATTCCCAGAACCCCCGACTACCCAATGTCCTTTGCCAAAAATAAAAATAGTAAAAAAATTAAAGGAACATTGTTTCTTACCAAACTTAAGAAATGATTTTGCCTTACCTTATTCAAAAAAATCCCCCCATGCCACAACACCGGCCTTCCCTTGCCCTTCGGAAATGATACAAATGACGTCACCGGAAACTTACGAATTTTGACGAAGTTATGTGGTTGTTTCCGTGAAACTCGGAAAACAGGGCGGTGCATAGCAACATGGTGGTAAAACACAGCAACAACTTACTTGAAAAGAACGATTTAATGCAATCTCTTTTCCAAAAACTAGCGTTTGCGTCCTAAGTCAACAGAATTTTTTTTCTGAAGTCATACTTTGTCTTAACGGTTCGGGTATTTCCGATTTTGTCGGAAACTTCCGACAAGTTTGGAATCTCGATCCCGATGTTTGGGGAAAAGATTTCTTTTTATTGTTTTGTTTTATTCTTTTTGCTTTCTTTTTCTTGAATGATAGACAGTACATATGTGGGTTTATATAGAAAATAAATGGCTGCCCCAACGGTCACACCGAAAAACAATTACCAAAAATGGTAAAAGATGAGTGTGGCGGAGTCATATTTTTTTAAAAAAAATTTTTTATTTTTTTGAATAACTTACTAGCCAAAATTTTATATATGCCATATTTGGTAGTTCTCCATTATGAATTCTACTAAAGAATCTCATTGGCCATAAATTTTACCCCTTGTTTAACCGGTTTCTCTGCTATATATACTGAGGCATGGGCCCACCCGTCAGTGCGGGAAATTTAACTTACATTTACCAGCTGCCCGTTGTCACCACTTGAAAGATCTGCCATTGCTTTTTCATTCCTAATAAATTTATTAAACTAAACCTGCGTTTTCCCCCCCGCTTGGTTACATTTGGCGTCGCCGGGAACTAAAGCAATGGCTAGTGGTGACAACGGAGAATTTCATGTAAAATTCCAAGAGGGGTAGAACTTCAAATTCCATTACATCAATGAAACATCGGGGGAAAGGAATGTTTATTAGGTAAACTACCCGTACTGATAGTGAATACCATTCTCGGCTGTTACAATGGCGAGTCATCCAACTGTAAAATCGTTACAGAAAGAAATCAAAGGTCTGCAGAATCAACTTAGCGAAATGGGTTGGAAATCAAATTACGAACCAAAAGAACCAAAAACTGTTTATGTGCAGCGAAATCGACTATCCAAAATTCACCGGCAATAACATTGATATAGAGGACTGGATAAAAAATGTTCAATATGCAGCACGTGGTATGACAAAGGAAGAAGGGGCGGATTAATTTACCAAAATCTATCTGGAAATGCGCGAGACGAAATCAAGTATTTGTCAGGTGATGTACGAAAAGATCCTCTACATATGGTTAAAATTTTGCGGGATGTATTGGGATAGAGACAGTGCTATTAAATTACAAAAAAATTTCTTGACAAAAAACGAATGAAACTGAAACACTGGTCAATATTCTTACGGTCTGATGGATATCATTAGAAGAATTATCGGAAAGACTCGTAGTTTTGGGAAAACCCAAAGATAAAACATTGTGTGAACATTTTTCAGAAAATGTCAGGGACCAGTATCTACGGAAACATCAAAAACGTTTCTGCGCACGCAACCGGATATCACGTTTGGGGAATTTAGAGAAGAGGCTATACTCTGGTCAGAAGAAGTGAACATGGCGAAGTCTCGTTACAAGAATCACTGGAGAAGAAATCAACTGAACAAAACCGCAAGTCTGAGAGTGAAAAGAAAACTGAAGTATCGACAGAAAAAATACCGAAGCAAATGGAAAGTGAAAGTGAAAAGAAAATCAAAGCACCGACGATTGAAGAAACAATGTGTCAGATAGAAAATTTAAAAAAAAAGCGTCAATTCCAAAAAAAATCACAAACAATGGATTTTTATGATCACCACTTACCATGCTGAATTTACCATGCAAAAAGCAGGGACACAAAGCTAATGAATCCCAACAAAACCGGATTCTCAAATTCTGAACAGGAAAACAAAAGCCCTTCGTAATGCAGAGTCCCGTTATAAGGGGAGTGAAACGGACTCATGGAAAATGAAACACGTTTAGTTGGTAAATGTCCTTCAGTATTTGTGACAAGAAGGGTTAATGTTAATTGTTTAGTTGATACTGGATCATCAGTTTCTACAGTGACAGAATCATTTTATGAGAAACATCTGAAGTCAGCAACCAAATTAAATACAGACATTGTGTTTTCTTTGAAAGCATCTAAGGATTTCCATACCGTTTATTGGATACATCGTGGTCAACATTGAGGTCATGGGTCAACAGTTACAGCAAGTGGGTGTGTTAGTTGTGAAAAATTCCGTTGATTTAGAAACACGTCAGGTGGGAAAAAATTTTTGGCCATTCGGGGAATGAACACGATTTCACTGTGTAAGAGTCTTTAAAACGAAACCCGGAGCAGGAAAAGAAAAAGTTGAAGAAATTTAGCAGTTACAAATTAAAAAGAACAATTCAAAGCATGTGACAGAAATATAAAGTGATGTCATAGGATATTTTAAAAGTCTGTGCAAAGTCTCCAGTAGCATTCCGGGAAAATCTGTGACTGTTATCAATGGTAAAACCCCAAAGATGCCAAGACTGTATGAAAGGGTGAACCTTTAAATCTACTAAATTTGTCATCAAACATTATCGTTGTCCGGACTCTTAGTAAAGTGAACCGTGGATTTCTGGCTTTCGTATCGCAAATATTGGTACTGACGATGTGTGGTTAGCCCCCAGAACAAGAGTTGCCGTCCTTGTCAATGGCGATGTACTTGAAAATCCATCTAACATCGAATTCACTAAAAAAGGAAATACTGAAGAGATTTTTTTAACAAATTTATGTGCAGGGAAACCACAAATTCGGGAAGTGACAAGTGATTTCAAAATTCCACCGGAAATAGAAAAGTTGAATTTAGATCCTGCACAGATGAAAGAAATTCGCACTCTTTTCTACCGAAATCAAGATGTATTCTCTCAAAATGATGACGATATAGGATATACTACAGCCATAAAACATACTATTCGGACAACAGACGATCACCTATAGTGCAACCTTACAGACGAATACCCCCATCACAATATGAGGAAGGAAATCACATATTGTAAATTGTTGAACAACAATATTATAAGGGAGAGTACTAGTCCATACCATACCGATTGTGTTAGTCAGAAAAAAAGATAATTCGCTCCGCTTATGTGTGGACCCGTAAATTTAACAGCAAAACTCACAAAGATGCCTATCCACTACCCAAGTAAAAAATCATTTGATGCTCTATGCGGTGCGAAATTTTTCTCGACAATGGATCTTACCTGTGGCTATAACCAAGTAGCTGTACATGAAGAAGTAAAAAAACGGCATTCACAACGCCAATGGGTCTGTATAATATTTCGTATGCCGTTTGGTTTGTGCAACGCCCCTGCGACGTTTCAGAGGTTAATGCAACACTGCTTCAGGGATGAAAATTTTTAAACATTTTACTTGTGTTTTTGGACGATATTATCTCTATTCAAAAACATTAGAACATTTGAAGCGATTAGAGACAGTGTTTAGAATCATCCGGAAACATGGATTAAAGTTGAAAATGTCAAAGTGCAATTTTTTTCAAAGTGAAGTTCGTTATCTCGGAATGCATATCCTCCGAGGGAATCAAAATGACCCAGAAAAAATAAGTGCTGTGCAAAATTTTGAAAAACCGACAACTGTAAAAAACTCAAGTCATTTCTTGGATTAGCAGGATACTTTGACGTTTTGTGAAAGGATTTAGTAATATAGCATCGCCATTACACAAGTTTCCCCGCAGTTTACACCTTATCCAAGGAAACCGTTTGGAAATAAATGGAATTCTTAGTGTGACGATGCGTTTACTACATTGAAAAAGCTTCTTGTGAGTTCTCCTATCTTTGGATATGCAGATTTCCAAAAGCCGTTTTTCTTAAAAGGTAGATGTTAGGATTAGGAGCAATTCTATCGCAAGTCAAAGACGGAAAACAACATGTCATCGCCTATGCTAGCAGACCTTAGTTCAAGTGAAAGGAATATGCAAAATTATAGTTTGAAAAATGGAATTACTATCATTAACCTGGGCAATAACAGAAAAGTTCAAAGATTACTTATTGGGATCAAAATTCACAGTGTTCACTGATAACAACCCGTTGTGTCCTTTAACACACAAAAACAGTGCAATTGAACAACGCTGGATTTCAAAATTGGCTATGTTTAACTTTGATGTGAAATTCCGACCAGGCCGCCATAACGAAAACGCAGATGCTCTTTTACGTATCAGTGATCCTGATGATTCATCGCGGCAAAGTGATTTAGAGATTCTACTAGAGAAGTTCTCAGATTCTACGAAACTACCCTCGGATCTACAAAAACAAAGTATTTCAAGTGTAATTGTGAATGAAGTTTACGACACTTTTCCATCTCTTAAACCAGATGAAATACAGTCTCTTCAGTCAGCTGATTCAGACTTGGCAACATTTCTGAAGATTTTCAATAAAGGATCTAAACCAACAAAAACAGTAATCAGAAAATTACCAAGATCTGTGATTACATTAGTAAGACAGTGGGATAAAATTGTAATTGTGAAAGGAATTCTTTACAGAGTGGTAACAGATCCGATACTAGGGGATTTAAAACAACTTATTCTTCCAAGATCATTACTGAAAAAAGTTATTCAGTTGTCATGACAATTGGGCCATCAAGGGATAGAGCGCACATTTTCTGCTGTTCGTTGG